CGGTTGGTCCATTCACCAACCACCACGGCGGCTTAATTCGGCAGCACCATCACGGGGCTCCGCGGCGCTGCGGGATCTGGTCTCCCGCGGCGAGGTGAGGAGGATGCCCAAGGCCACCGGCCGTCTGACACCTTGCGGTCGCTTACAGACCACACTTCTGGCACCTCACCACCAAAAAAGCCCAGCACTGTTTTGTCCCAAGCGCTGCTACAGACGCTGCCTGGTTTTGCAGCCTGCCACGTGCGTAATCATCGCTACCCAAAAAGCGGAGTTGCCCTGCGGGCTTTGCTCAGGAATAGTGAAATGCATTGAATTCATTACCTCTTGGAGACCTGAGCGAGCGCCCGTGAACTACACAAGACCCGCAGGTACCCTCAGCATTGATGATAGGAGGTGAAAAGGGTAAACGGATGAAATGAATTTCTGGTCTAACTAACAGACAAATGTATTTATCTTCCTTCATGTCCTGAGTTGTTGCTGGAAGATAATTTCTGTTGCTACAACACGATGCCTGCGTAATGTGCCATGAGTACAGAAATTGAGTTAGCAGTACTGACAGATAGGCTGTGTGTGTTCAGCCAGCTATTAGTTTTTAAATCCCCTCTCAAATCTGGAGCCAGAGCGCTGATAAAGCCGTCTGCACCTCTCCATCACCGGCCCCCGCTCCAGCCTGCTGCCGGCCAGCACCACCGTTACTGATGGTGATTACTGCCCTTGCCGCCGGTTCACATCGGACCTCTGCTCAGCTCCGAACGGGCAACGTCTCAGTGCGCTCTGAGCTTGTGTTATTTATGGTCCCACCTGAATCACCTGTAGACGTGCCAGAGGCACCAGTTTCACAGGAGTTTGACAGAAAATTGCAGGTGGATGATCCGGAGCATGACTGCAGCCTCTGTGCTCTTATCAGCGCACGAGGGTGCGGGAGAGCAGGATCGCCAGCCGCCCTCGCACGGACTAAACCTGCTCCGAGCTGCCTGGGAGATGCCACCAAGCCCAACGCGCACGTGCTCTCTAGCCGTATACACATGCACCCCTATATAAAAGAAATATAACATTTCTGTAGGTCAACACTAGCTCAGTCCCTTCCAGGGTGGAGGCTCTACCTGGCTGGTGCTTCTGTGCTTCTGAGTTCAGAACGACAGACAGGAAAGATGATGCAGATTTTTTGGACGTACTACGGCCGGGATGTACACAGGGTCACGACACCCCACACCAGGCCACCGGCCCGCGTTAAGAGAACTTTCGGTCCTCTTTGACTAAGTTCGATCTGTTTCTTAAGGGAGTAAACCGCTTATCTGTTTCTTGCTATCTCTCTTTTGAGAGATAGATACGTACGTATACTGTCTACAGCACCATAGTCCTCGAGGATCATCCGAGGGCGTAAGAAGCAGCAGACTACAGGGCAATGCAGCAATACACCAGTTCATTGTTCCAGTGAGGTCAAACACTTGAGGTCCAGTTGTGGCCGACTGGACAGTTTGCTGCACAGAAATACCCATGGGGGGGGGCAGACCCTTCCGTGAGAACACTGTAATCTAAATGCATCGACACTATGAGCCATCTCACTTAAAACTTAGGTTTCTGTACTGAAGCGCATTTATTCAATGTGGGAAAATATTGAGAAGTTTTTGGCTTTACAGCATCTGTTTTTTCTCCCTACAGAAACCCTCCATTCACCTTAATTGTCTTGAGTGAAGACGTTCAGTCGAGATGGAGACCAACATGTCCTCTGGAAACTGTACTGATCCCCAGATGTCCTTTCAGTCCACCCTGTATGCAACCACTTACACCATCATATTCATACCCGGGCTTCTGGCAAACAGTGCTGCCTTGTGGGTTTTATGTCGCTTCATCAGCAAGAAGAACAAAGCTGTGATTTTCATGATCAATCTGGCCATGGCCGACCTGGCTCACGTTCTCTCACTGCCTTTACGAATGTATTACTATATAAACCATACGTGGCCTTTTGGAAGCTTTCTTTGCCAGGTGTGTTTCTACCTGAAGTATCTCAACATGTACGCGAGCATTTGCTTCCTCACCTGCATCAGCATCCAGAGGTACCTCTTCCTTCTCCACCCGTTCAAGGCGAAGGACTGGAAGCGGAGGTACGACGCGGCCATCAGCGCCGCGGTGTGGCTGTTCGTGGGGGCAGCTTGCTTACCGCTGCCCATTGTGAGGAGCCCGGCCTTATCCAACACCACAAACACATGCTTTTCCGACCTAGGTGTGAAGCAAATGACACCAGGAGCCTCTATCGCTTTGGTGACAGTTGCGGAGCTATTTGGGTTTGTGATCCCCTTGGGTATCATTGCCTGTTGCACGTGGAAGATGAGGCAGTCCTTGCAGGAATGTCAAACGGAGCTGCAAAATGCCAGTGAGAAGCAGAAAGCTTTGCGAATGGTGTTAATGTGCGCTGCTGTGTTCTTCATATGCTTCACCCCATACCACATCAACTTCCCGTTATTTATGATGGTAATAGAGAACATCATCAAAGACTGTGCCATTCACAGGAGCACGCTCCGCTTCCACCCCATCTCCCTCTGCCTCGCGAGCCTGAACTGCTGCTTGGATCCAGTCCTCTACTACTTCATGACATCCGAGTTTCAGGACCAATTGCTGCGACACAGCCATGCTGCCCTGAGGTCTTGGTTTGCACGCAAAGGGAGCAGCCTCTCTGTTAGGGAGACCAGCGACAATATTCATATGAAAAAACAAAGTTTTCCACGTTTCAAATTTTGGTCCCTTCCAAAATTCTTTGGTCGAATAAATAGTATGGAAATTCCTCCGATGCCACCAGATGAGCTTTTGTTAGAGTCCATCTCTTGAAACATAAGACATTTCCCTCCATATAGGTGCTTCTCAGAGCTCTAGTGAAGACTGCATTAGGTGTCTGAATACATGTTGCATTACCCTTGTTTGCAACAGGTACAAGAGTGACACAGAATGACACTTCGATGAAAACACATTTCGTAGTTGCATTGTTGCTATTAGTGACTGTCTGACCCACAGTGGTCTCCGTCATGTTATTATTAAACTATTTGAAACAGCCATCACCAATACCAGTATTTTTCTCCAGGCTGAACTGCAGCAGGTGTGGTTCCCTACAATTCCTTTCGCTTCGGTGGAGTCCCACAGGAAAAGGGAATATTTCTGAACCAGAAAAAAACGTATCTATGTATTTGTCCTTCTTGAAAATCCTTCTAAACCCTGGCTTGCAACCAGGCAGCTCTGCCCTCAACAGAGGTACCACCGGCTGGAATTACAGCACTGACTGCAGCTGCATACATCCAATTAAAATTGCCTGTGCTGTGCTCTCATTAGGCTCTAGATCCAGACAGTTAACTATCTCCACGTAAAACAAACCTCCTCCCATTGAGGACCTAACCTAGACCAGACTGCAGGACTACAACGTTACCAGCAAACACCAAGCTAGCAGCATTAACCCATGTTCACGTCAGCGTTAAAGGGAGTTTTCAAACGAGCTGAGCTATGTCAGCTGAGTTTACTCTATAGAAAAAAGCCACCTAGACTTAAGTGAGGGAGCTTAGGCTGCTGGGAGCTGCAAGACACTAAAGCGATTATAAGGGATGAATACTTGAAAGATGACTGTAAGGGGATATGCCAAGCGCGAGGTGGGAGAGGGACCGGGCAGTCCTTCCCGCAGCACGTTCGCGCGCAGGACCTGCCACGGGGGAGCTCGCAGTCGGTGCTGCCATCTCCTGTTGTTATTAGGAGTCTTGTGTTACCTGGCATTTTGCTAAAGCCTCTGCTCCTAGATTAAGATGTTATATGAGGCTCTCGGCTTTGCCTTAAAGAACAAAAACGCTTCCAGCCCTCGCTGGTTCCCAAAAGTTCACAAAGCTGACCCAAGCGCATCCTTAAGGCTTCAGACTCGGGAGCAAATAAAATTATCCCACAACATGTATTTTGGCATTACGGGTGTTATTTTAAGTGCTGTGACTTGTAAATAACCTCATCATCTCGGGGAGCTCCAGCAGGCGCCGCAGAGACGGAAATCGCCCCCTGCTTTGCCTTGGGGGGTGTCTGCACGCGGGAGCCTGCAGAGGCCAAGCGGAGTCCCGCGAGCGTGCCGGCCCGCCGCGGGCCGGCCACGTTTGCTTTGCGGGCCAAGGGATCGAGGGCTGGCACGCCGAACGCCTCAAAGAGCGACACAAGCAAACGCAGGCAGAGCACTTCTGCCAGTTAGCCTCCCACAGGACGGAAAGCAGCCTCGCGGGTAATTGGACGCACGTTTCCAAGCCCCGCTGCGTTTCCGGGACCGCTCCGCTGCTGCGGGAACAGCTGCAACAGCTTAGTGGCTTTTCTGCTTGTGCATCTATACATAAATATATATATGTGTGTGTATGTATATACATGCACGCACACACACATTATACATATGCATACATACACACTTTATATAAATATATATGTGTGTGTTAAAAAAGAAAAGAAATTAGGCAGTACTTCAGAAGGCAATAAGGAATTATCAGAGATGTCTCTCACGCACAGTGCTTTCTAGGGCGCTGCAAGAAGGGAAGGAAGGCTGCTTTTTTCCTTTGCTAAAAATATCTCTCTACATTTCTTTCCCACCGTGACCGCACGCCTCTAGCCCAAAGACAGCCTCGTTACTTTGCGTCTGCAAAAACACTCAGTCTCAGTCCTCAATGAAATGTGCACCATCTACCCACGAGCGAGACACAGAGTCTCATGATTTTTGGCCCGCTTCTAACAGCCGCGGCTCCTGGAAGCGAGCTGCTTGGAGATCCTCCCTCCTCGCTCCGGAGGGAGCGGCGCGCGGTGCTCCTCGGAGGGAAAA